TGCGTTTGCCAAGATTTATCCATCTGTGGAGATAGCAGTTTGGGATGGCTGGGGATTTTTGGGGGGTCTTAGATTTTTCTTTTCTAGACATAATGCCCCCAAAAAAGGTTTTGGAAGTGTTGAAATTACATCTTGACACTTAACCACTCCACCGATGTCTGCTTTATATTTAATTTATAATCCAACTATATATTAGCAGACCCAAAACCTAAATGAAACCATTTGAAATTATTTGAAGTGCAGTGTTTCAATTGACCTGATCTAATTTGGGGTTTATAAATTCACCAGACTTCTTGAGATTAAAGTGTTCTGTCTTCACTTAAGTATGGAAACATTTTCAAGCCTCAAGAATTATCCCACAATGGGGAAAATGTCTCCTGCTCTGCACTCCTCACAGTCTGAGGAAATGAAGGACGGAGTCACAAGACTTAAAGCAATTCACTTACCGCACTTTACTAAGTTACAGTTCAGCTACAGTAGTTGACCATGTGCCTGTTTTTAGCACAACAGTCACTTTTGGTTCCCGCAGCTAATACCATCTTCTCTGTGCAGTCACTCCAAAAAATGTTTCTTCTGCAGTGCTCACAGAAAGTGAGTTTGCGTCCCTGTGCATGAGTTGCCAAGGTAATTTATTCCAGCAGCTTCCCTCCCCTCTCCCAGCAAAATAAGCTATACTGTGCTCGTGTCCCCATGCGTGAGCTCTCCTCAGTCTGCTGTTCAGAGTGCAGGAGAGATTATTTATGTTCGTTAGAGCTCTGGATGAATTGCCAATACAGAAGAAGCAATCACTCTGTGTGGCTTTTCTTGTGTGTTCGTTGCTGGGTTGTTGTGGGAGGGTCCTTGTGCTGCACTATATTGTGAGTTACTGCTGTCACCCAAAATTTGGCTATGAGGGTTTATAATCTACAGCATTAGGGAAGGAGGATGAGCTGCAGCCCACAGACTGTCAACTGCAGCTCTGCTCCCCAAAGCCATTTGCCAGCTTTCCATCTGGGATGTGAAGTTTTCAGGAGGGGATTCAAACACTTCCCACTTCGTCTTCAATGTCTCTTGTGCCCCAGAAGCCTTTCCCAGCAGTTTGGATTTTCACTTTGTGTCCCATGTTTAAACCTAACATCTGCAGAGCAACTCCCTTTGGCCTTTTGTGGTTTCTGAAGGGACAAGTGTTGCTATAGGGAGGCCCTCAAACAACTCCCCCTGCCACTTGCTGTCAGATACTCATTCCCAAGCAGCGTGTTCCCACTTTGCTGCTGATTGTGCTGTACCCATTTAAGTCTCTTAGTTTTTACTTGCAAGCTGATGCTTGATGCCCTGATCACTTCAGTTCTTTGCTTGTGTTTTTAGTGTATCTTTGCTTGGGGCTATTTTTCTTACTGGTATATTAGGGTGCATTATTCTCCTCAGGTGAGATTCTTTTTGTTTGTCATGGATAAGCTGTTCTGCCCTCAAGAGACATGAACCCAGACTCAGCCTCTAACATTGGGCCAACCTTTTGTTTAGAAATGGATGGTTCCTTCCCCATCCTTTTCAAATGCCAAAAAAAACTAGTGGAACTCGGATACACAAGTGTCTCTAAACCAGAAGGGCACTCCCTGCCTTTTAGACAAAAATATGGGAAAAGGATAGCAAACTTTCCCCTCAGCCCATGCTGGAGTTGTGGGCCATATTCTTATGACAGGAATTTGACTGCAGCACCTAGGTCTGATGTTTCCTAGTTCATTCTTATCTGTCTTCTCTGTGCCTTGATTTGGCCCTCTGTGTGGTTCATCAGATGCACTCAGCTTTACCCGTTGATTACAGAGAGGGCTGGCAACAACAGCTTGGAAGAAAAGAAAAACAGGGCTGTTAGGTTTGGTTTTTTTCTTCATCTTGTTTAACTTTCTGGAAGTCTGAAAGCTCCATGAGGTGCTAGGAGAATTAGCTAAACTGTGAAAGAGAGCAAAATCAGGAAGCAAAACTTATAATCCTACAGGGATGCTATTCCCATAGTGTGCAGAAATACCTTTGTGCAGGTTGTAAGCTGCTGGGGCAGCACTTAGGCACGTGGGATAACCTGATTAGAGAATCAAAGAAAACCCCGTTAGCTCCACAGGCCAAATCCTGCCTTACAGCAACCTGATGTCAAATGGGTGTGAATCAAGGAATCTTTCCCTTTGGCGTCTTCTGGTAACACCTTGAAGAGAAGGGTCTGAGCCAGGGTTCTAGCAAGGAAAGAGGCTTAAGCAAATACACTCCCAGACAGGGAGTGAGCCGGAGTCTGAAACTAATGACTTTGTTTTTCCTCACTGGTACAGACTTGGAAGGATGAAAAGAATAAATTTCAACGGTCTAATTTTCAGGTTGTATAGAAGGCTTAATCAGGAGTTGGTTAATTTAAAACGCTTGTCAAACAGTGTGACTGAGCTGAGATTTGGGAGCAGAAGACATATGTTTCTGAAGGCATCATCCAGAAGCGTGATTACCTCCTGTCCTGGTCGCTACAAAACCCCCACCAAAGTCAGCGTTAACATGAGATGTCAGACAAGACAATTGTAATGACCCCTTGCGGTCTTAAACTCTGTGTGTCCGAAACATGTGCGTAGGGGTTGTATCAGATCGGTAGTGAGAGCATTTCCAGACCATGCTGTTTGGTGTTAAATCCCTTTGCGGAGTGGATTGCAGCAGCAGGTTTCCGCTCTGTTCGCGGTACTGGGTAGGCTGTGCTCAGTGTTGCTGACTGGAGCGCCGTTACGTAGGCTGTGGTAGCACACCAGGGGAACTGCTTAGCAGATCAGCCCCTAACGTGTAGGTAAGCCATGAAACTCCAGGCACTTTGTGGGTGCTCACCGTTTCTCTGAATTCAAAAAGTGATCAGGAAAGTTCATGGGAGTTACACCCACTTGAGGCTAAGTACAGAGAAGCTGAGCTCTGGTTCAGGGAGTCCCTAAGCCAGAAATTGCCGGAGGCTGGGAGCATATCCTAAGGAATTGCTGTGTTTTGCTTGCCCCGTTCTCATACCTTGGCCTCCATTGTTGGCAACTGTTGGCAACGAAGCAAGCAGTGACTTGGTGAGGCAAACGCTCTGTACCTGCGCATATACAGAAGTCGTCATTAGTTGTCTTATGAGTGGCACAATCTTCCATCGGTATCTGCAGGTACGCTGCATTGCTTCCTTGGTGATACAGAGAGCAGCACGGATACAGACTGAGATGATGTGATCTGCTTATGCAAAGCAAAATGGTAAACTTGCCAGGCTATTCCTCCAAGGAGAAGATTATTGACCTTGCTTTTTCTGGCGTACCAGCTACTGTTATAACGATGATGATGGTGACAGCAACCAGACAGAAAGGCCAGCAATAATTCTTTCCTGCCCATTATTACAAGGCATAAAGTAAAATCCAGTCTGAAACTAACTCTAGTCTGGCTGTGCTGTCTTTACAAATGTGTTAGGCAGTTCACATATGGGTTGAAATCCAGGACTTTTCATATTGACCTTTCCAAAAGCAATCCTTTTGATCTTCTGATATGAACCTGTGCATTTCTGTGTTTGTATCTTACCAGTGATTTGCAGCCGAGAGACAATGCGCAATAGCAAATATGTGAGAGTAGAAGTAACCTCTCTGAGCTCCTGGGTGATTTATCTCCTGACAGTACATTTTGGCTGCACATGCAAGGGCTGGATCTTGCCCCTGAGAATATTGGCTCAAAGAAGCAATAACAATGTGGTCAGTCAAAGCACTACTTTCCCTGGGAATTTTGTTGCATGAGGAAGCAGAAGAACTTTAGCCTGCCTGTGTTTGTCAACACAATCTGCCTTCCAGCAGCTTTTTATATCTCTGTCCCATTAGCTTTTTTCCTTCCCTTTTTCCCTCTCCTTATTTCTGTCTATCTTAATCATAATCAATATAGTGATCACAGACTTTTTACCACATCTAAGATGCAAATGTTGGTTGATAACATTATTTGATAACTCCAGATGTATCAAGCAAGAGTAGTGAGCAAAGTTCACTTTTCCAAAGTCCAGTGAAATGACCCACATCATTGCCACAGATTTATTGTTTCCATCTGTCCGTGTGAGTTGCATCCTTCATTCATGGCATGTGTCTTTTAAGGTGCTTGGTTTGAAAGGGTAAGTTGCACAGTTGGTGTCAGGAGGGTGGTTGTGCCTCACAACCATCTGAAGCAAAATCGCGTTGATGTTTCTATAACTGACTGCAAGGGTGAGTGAGGGTTGCAATGGCATAAATCAATGGACGCCACCTAAAAGGAAGGGTGATTTTTATTTTTTTGCTCCAATGCTTCTGGAGCAGGTTAGTATGTAAAACCTGTGCAGCAAGGAGCATGGCCTTAGAGCTGGCATTTCACAGTCGTTATCTCAAACATCATGGGCTGGAGATAAATGAACAGCTTAAGTCATCCTGAACTCCTGTCCTTGTGATGCTTTCGTTGCAGACACTGCGTTGTTCTCTCCCCAGACTCAACAGTAGTGTCCACGGTGGGAGAGGATGATCAAGATTTTCTTACAAGGCAGATATAGCTCCCATAAAGGATCTTTATTGGCAGAGCGGTTTGAGGGTCTCTGTGTAGCCCCAGGAGTTTGAACTTCAGCTTTGCAGTGCACTTTGTGGAGGTTGTCTTTAATAAACTCAGCTGCAAGAGGTCTTTTAGATGGGGCAATCCAGAGGCAAAAACGCGGGAGCGCAGGCTGCATAACTCCGCGTGCTCTTGGCTACAGAAGCTGCAATGTCTCAGATACACCCACCTGATGGGCTGTCTCTGATCGTTTATCAGAGCTGCTGAGAGAAGGCTCTGGCTTGTGTTCTCACACTGTACTAACGGCTTGACCCAAGCCCTGTGCTGTTATCATACTCTTTGTTGACTGTACTGCACTTATCTAGAAGAAATGAAAAGAAAGTACCTAAAGTTTCCAAGTAGACCAGCAGCAGCCTCCAACCCAGCTGACTCTCGTAAATGTCGTGCTGAGACGGTGCTCACATCTGCTGTGTATGTTTTGTTTGCAGAACACGCTGGAGCAATGCAGCGTCTGTGCAAAGCCCATCATGGAGAGGATCCTCCGAGCAACTGGGAAGGCCTACCATCCCCACTGCTTCACCTGCGTGATGTGCCATCGCAGCCTGGATGGGATCCCCTTCACGGTGGATGCCAGTGGGAACATCCACTGCATCGAGGATTTCCATAAGTATGGCCTAAGCTGCTGTCAGTGGCTTTGCTTATTGTTTTTCTCTTTTGTCCCTAAAAATCCTCTAGTTTTAGTCTGAGTGTCCAAAAAGATCTGAACCTTCTGCCACTTCCTCCCAAGGCTCTTAAATTGTAGGCAGAGCTTTGCTCCAAGCAGGCACACCGTGGCATACAAGATTAATTGGTTAGGGGCTGATGCTGCTTGATCTCTGTTTTGCTTAGATCAGAATTTGTGGATAACCTGTGTTCGTCTGTTTTAAATGCTCTGCATTCCCTCTGCCTTCCCCTGCACTCAGCACGTGCACATTTCTCCTCGCTGCCTGTACCTGCACTTCCACATCGGCGTCTCCCCCCTTCTTCCACCGAGCAATTAAGAGAGGTCCTGTACTGTTGCCCTCTGCAGGTGTTTGCTTACCGGCTAGAGGGATCTAGGTGGCCACAGGATGCTCACAGCTCCTCTTGTTTCTAGTTGCTAATTAGCTTTTTAAAGCTGCTAAAAATACAGCCCTGGTAATAATTTATAGTGAAACTGCTATTTAAAGTACATTGAAAGGTATAGTTGCGAGTAGTTTCTGTCACTGCCATGCTACCACCCCCATCATCACAACTAATCTAGGGTAGACAGGTAGATATAATCAGAGCACAAATGTTTCCCCTTTATGGAAAAGACAGACACATTACACCCCTCAATTAAAAGAGGAAATCAATACTGACAAATGTGAGTTTACATCTCAGCCATTTATCTCTTAATTTCTAAGGGGGTAGACTTAATTAGAGCCTCGTGACATCAGTGTGTGGGCCTGAAAGCTCAAAGAAGCAGGCTGACTTGACAGAAAGGGAAGCAGCCACGATCAACTGGCATGTTAAAATCCAACATGAGAATGTTCCCTGTAGCTCAGATGGGCTGTGTTAATTGGCAGCTGCTGCGTTACCTTACTTTTCTGTGCCAGCACTTGTGTGTAAGGCAAAATTTGCTCCTGAGTACAGGACCAACAGAAGGTTTACACACCACTCTGGCTCCTGAAGGGTTTCCCTCACACCCACGTAAGATTTGGAGACTGCTCTTTCCCCAAGCTCTGCAGACCAAGGGCTCTCATGCCTTCAGGAGGAAGGTTGGGAGAAAGAGCTGATGTCCCACGTTGAAGTCTTTTGGCAGCGACTGGATCTGGACTTTCAGGGCTCTGAGAGTGGGTAGTGGGAGGCTGTCGATCCATGGAAAGGATGCAGAATTGCTGAATGAAAGATTGAGGGGAAGATGATGGGAATAACATGAGACCTAATGTGACACTCGGGATGTCTTTGGCCAACCGCACGTTTAAGACTGGGCTGGCCACAGTGCAGCTAATTCATAGAATCATAGAACAGTTTGGCTTGGAAGGGACCGTTAAAGGTCATCTCATCCATGCCCCCTGCAGCTGATCAGGGATGACACATTCTCCTGGTCTGGAGGTCAAGTGCTCTACATCTTGTACATCCTCTTGATAACAAAACTGTAGCTGATACTTATACTGTCACTTAGCCACCCCCTGAGCTTAGGCCCTGCAGTAGCACATCCACATCCCCTGAAACCTGCAGGAGTCATCTCTGGGTCCTGGGAGTTAATATTTGGCTCATAATGAATTACCCACAGTGGCCTGGACAGAGAAATGTTGAAGTATTTTTAAGCACCACATTTGAGCTAAATGGCACAAGGAAGCGCCTGCATGAAGCAGCATATAATTAACTGCGATTACAGCTCCGGTCATATCATGATCCATTTAAGTTATTTTTCAGAGCACTCACTATAGCCACTGTTTAATTCATTTTTTTTCGTTAGATCGCAGCTACACAGACATCTTTCATCTGCTGCCAGTGAAATTAATATTTTTCTTTACTCCTAGTACAGATAGATTTTTTTTTTTTTTTTTTCATCCTTCCTCAGCTAGTTAATTCTGAGGTGGTGCATGTGACAGGTTGGGTGGCAGAGTCAATCTTTCCTAGGCATTTCAGAAGAGAAGGGCCTTTGATCTCCTCATGTTCTGATGTTTGCCGTAAGTGTTGCCCTCTGTTGCTCTATAGCCCGTGACCCTGGCTCTTGTTACATGGCAGCAAATTCTGTAGGTATGTTTCTTTTTTTGTGAGCAGAATTTGCAGCCAGGGTTTTGGTACCTGCAGGTTTTGAACCAAAACAGCAAATAATGATTCACCACAGGCTAAACGTTCTCAAGCATCCCCGCCTGCCTCAGAGCAGTGATGGCCACTTCTCATGGGCAACCAGGGGGAGCAAAACCAGAGCTAGTACAGAACATATGTGAATTAGCCAGAAGGGCTTATGGTGGGCAATATAAGGGGAGAAAGAAAGGTCTGTGCTCCTCTTGGTCCCTGAGCTGACCTTGATTCAAGCCAGTTCCTTCAGACAGTGAGCGACTGTCACTATGCAACTCTGACTCAGGCTGACGGTGCACGTGCAATCGTTGGTGTCTCTGCACCCAGATCTGTTCCCTTTTAAGCCTGGGCAGCCCGCTAACGGATAACTGAGAGTTGGTTTTAGCTAGAAAATGCAGCTAGTCATAATTGCCCCGATGCTGCTTGTTTGAGAGTGAGCACAGCCAGGAGTGTGCTTTTGTGTGCATAAGTGGGTAAGATGTCTCAGAAGTTTAAAATGGATGAGATAAACCTCAACAAATTAATGTAGTGTAAGGCAAATCTTTTAACTGTCTCTATTAAGACTTTTTACCTATTTGTTTCAATCTCCAAATGTTCCTAATGCAGATCCTGGTCATCTTTCTTTTCACGAGCTTTCTTAGAGTTAGGCTGGGGGTTGAGGCTGTAGGTCACAGCAATGTATAGCTGTCACAATCGTGGGTCATTCAACAGACACTTTAGTTGTTAATTAGGGCAAGCAGAATATGCCTTGCTGCCTGTCAGATATTCTTGAAATCCTCTCCTAATAGTCTGCAAAATGCTCTTTAATATCCTGCAATCCTGAAATTGCATTGTAAGATTAAAGTGCTCCTTCCTGTCTTCTTTCCAAGGGAAGGCAGCTGTGCAAAGCTGCAGACTGTGACATGTGTACATATGTGTGTGTTTGTACATGTGCACAAGTTTCTGCCTTGCTAGTGCTGTTAACAAAAGCTTTCACTCTGAGTTTGAGGATGACTGGGACCATGTCTTCTTTCTTCAGGAAATTTGCACCGAGATGTTCCGTGTGTAAGGAGCCCATCATGCCAGCCCCAGGACAAGAAGAGACTGTACGCATTGTCGCCTTGGATCGTGACTTCCATGTCCAGTGCTACCGGTGTGAGGTTAGTATTCTAATCATGTGAAGGACAGAAAGCAAAGGTTGGCTTAATTTAATCACCGCTTCATGCTGTACACACGACAGGCATACCCTATAGTAACACTGGCTCTACAATCAAATTACTTCATTGACTTCAGCATGCAAGGAATTTTTCCTCATTTATATCAGCGCAAATGAGAAGAAAATCAGGTCCCTTGTTTATAACAGGTTCATTATGAGAGCAAGGGAATGTGACTCAGGTAATTAGGGCTTAATATTTGAGAACATCATAAATTATAGCTTGGACACAAACGTTGCTCATGTTTATGTTCTTAAAATGAAAGCTAATGCATGTTAGAATTTGAGCAAGATTGTACAGGAAACTCAACATATGGCTCTGGGTTGAAGAATTTTAATGGACACATAAACATGATCATTCTTGTTTTGTGCAATTCCTTTTGTGCTACTTTCCTGTTCAGTTTCATTATGCACTTCATATAATTTTGATGGTAAGAATCTGAAGACAGAGAAGAAAAATCACCTTAAAGCAATTAACATGTGGAAACAGCTGTGTTAGGGAACGTTCAAGAATTCTTCAATGCAAGTGTTACTTGTTGGATAATACATCAGCCAGATGGCAGGGTAAGAAAATGAGACCAAATGTATTTCTTATCACAGTTGCACGTTTTAATAACTTAAACCGGAAAGAAGGATGGACCAAAGCTTAAAGGTCTAGGCTGAGACTTGAGGCATCTGGTTCACTTCTCAATCTGACCTTGGCTTCCAGGCTACATATCAGACCATTACTTAGGCCTCGTTGTTTTTTTTAAAGATGCTGGGACATTTCTACACTAAATTTTGTAGAGCCTAATTCATCATACAGCGTGTCCCCATGCTGGCTGCTGAGATACCTAGGCTTCACACACATGAACATCAGAAGTAGATGCAATGGAGAGCACAGACACTCACGTGGCCTTGATCTCCGTGTGCCTCAACTATCTCAAAAGGAACAACAATGATATTCCTCTTTCCACCACTTGCATGCCAGGTGCATTTACAAACACAGATTTATGACGCAGAGGCATGGCCTCTAAGCAAGCCGTAACTCCCTCACCACAGCTCCATCACCAGTCTTTGACCAAGCGATTGCCTGATGACACAGTGAGGGATAATTCCTAGCTTTCCTAGCAGCCATACTTAGCCTGACATACTTAGAGGCTGAGGTCTCTGGAGCAGGTTTTGGGCCTTTTAGCGCGGCTTCCATGTGCCTGTCCCAGTGACATCCTCCTTTCAGCCACAGCTCTTTTGCGCCCATTGCAATACAAACACAGGTGATGATTCTGGTAAGGGGAGACAGGCAAAGAGTTTGCTTAGCTGTCACCCCTGGAATGGATGCTATAGCTTTGTGGCATTAACTCTTCCAAAGGAGATTACCTGTAGTCAGATATTGGTACCAAACTTCCTTCCCAGTGATGCTCCTTTTTTATCAATTTTGCATTAATAAATATGTGCTTAAATTTGATGTTTTCTCCAATGCTAAAGACCTTTACTTCCTCAGAAATGTGAAGGGAATAATCTCTTTTTATTTTCAATTAGATTAAATTCAGCAGAGAGCTTGGGAACCCATCTTCTCTGCAGCATTGTCTCTTATCTGGAAATGGCTTAATCGTGAAAGACATCACGTACCTCAGCTTCATACTTTGTGCTGACTCAGGCTGGATCCTGTTACAAGGTGGAGAGTGAGGAGAAAGTTTCTTTGCCTAATAGATTCTTCATTTAATCTTGTTCTTCTTTCTGTTTGCTTATTTCCTAGGACTGTGGTGGCCTCCTGTCTGAAGGGGACAATCAGGGCTGTTACCCTTTGGACGGGCACATCCTTTGCAAGACCTGCAACTCAGCTCGGATCCAGGCTCTGACTGCCAAGGCCAGCACTGATCTCTGAGTATCAACTGTGACCCTCCCCAGGATGCCCGTTGGGGGATATTGCACAAGCTTTGCATGATTTCTTTCCAGCCTAGGGTCTGAATCTCTGTTTAAAAAAAAAAAAAAAAAAGTAAAACTGGAAGGCCTTGGAACAAGAGGGCAGTTCGAGAGGCCGTGTTCAGACTGCCTATGACAGGCACCTAATTTAGACACAACTTTTCAGGAGGGCAGTGAGTGAGTCACATCCCCTGCTGTCTCCGCAGCTGATGGAGATAAGTGGTCACAACACCAAAGTTATCTGCCTGTGGAAGGAGGTCTGAACATGGTCTTAACTGTATTTCTGTGTTTGATTCCTGACTCTTAAGAAGTTGTTGTGGTTTAACCCCAGCCAGCCGCTAGAACCACACAGCCGCTCACAGAGTTCTCCCCCTTCCCCCTCGCCAAGAAGGGTAGGGAGAAAAGGAGGGAAAAGGCAAAAAAAACCCCAACTTGTGGGGTTGAGATAAAACCAGTTTAATAGAACAATAACGAAAAAGGAAAATAACAATAATAATGGTAAAAGAATATACAAGATAAAGTAATACAACACAAGTCACTCTCACCACCTGGTGAATTGGTTACCCAGCTCCTCCTGAGCCGTGATCGTGGATTCCTGCCTGCCAGCCAACCTCCATTTATGTACCAGGCATGACATCTATGGTATGGAATATTCCACGGCCCATTCCATTGTTCTGTCGTGCTCCTTCTCAGCTTCTATGGGAAGCTGAACAAAGTCCTTGAATAGTATAAACCTCACCTAGCAACAAATAAAACAGTATACATTATTGACATTCCTTTCATATCAAATCTGAAAACACAGCAACCATGAGAAAGAAAATTAACTCTATCTCAGCTGAAATCAGGACAGAAGGTACATGAAGGTAGAAGGTGAAAGATGGCTGAGCTAGTTCTTTCTCCCAAGTTATTTTGAGAACCTGACCATCTTTCATCAAAGTCATGGGGAGCTTCCCTTTGACTTTAATAGGATCTAGATCACCAGCAGCAGTAGCTCCGCTGCCCTACGAAGGTGTGAGAGCAGACCCAGCACTCCTCTCATCACAACACAAACAATGCCACTTCAACTGTACTGCACCTAAGAGTGTAGGTGTGACCTTGTATCCTGGGGACACAGATTTGGTTTTATCTCTTTTTTCTTAGGCCCTTACTTGTTTCCATTCCCTTCCAGTTCAATAGGGTTTTTTCTTTTTCTTATGAAATTATATTTTGCTATTGCATAAATTTATTCAGTAGCGATGCTTCCAATTCACAAAGTACGAGCAATCACACAAAGATGTGAGCTTGCAGACACTATACACTACACCCACACCCACACAATGTGCTTTTGATTTACCAGAGGTATAAGCAATCATGTCCATTGAGAAGGTTTTTTAAGTATGTGGGGCTGGAAACACATTTTTAAAATCCCAGTGGTTAAAAAAAAAAAAAAAAGAAAAAAAAATGACTACATAGAACTGCAGTCCAAAGCGATGCTCAAAAAAATCTTATGCCACTCTCACACACCCCATTCTAGTGGGATGACTGGCAGTGTTTGTTTCTGGGTAGACATTTAAGCAATAGGGTCTTGTTTCACCTCTTGTTTATTGCAATGGGAAGATTTTCCTTCAACTGTAACAGGGATTGAATCAGGCCTTGGGATATACATTTCTCTGATGTTAACATGCCTGATCTGGAGTTCTCATTTAAAAAAGTAGGGATCTTATTTCAACAACAGCAAAAAGGATCCTCCTAAATATGTGCTGTTGTTCAGTTTTTATCTTAAAAAAGCCTAAAGAAGGTATTAAACCCTACTCTATGCCATTCTAAAAAGTAAGCAATTTTTTTACCTCTTTCATTTTCATCACAGCCACTTATAACTTCTCTCTGGTGAAATGTCATTGCAGAATAGTGCTGGGCCAGCAGCAGCATTTTCATCTTCAGTCCAGAATTAATACATATGCCAAGGTAAATAAAAGCTGGGCACAGATAGTCTTTTTTTTTCCTCATGTTGGTGGGGTTTTTTTTAGTTTGGTTAATTAAAAAAAAAAAAATTAGAAATCCACAGTACTCTGAGCAGCTATAATATTCTTGTTCATGAAACCCATAATAACTAAGGTGCAAATTACATAGTGAGGGAGTAATTTTCATATCACTGAATTGACATTAATATCTTATTTGCAGATGTAATCAAAGAAAATACCTTTCTTTGCACTTAACAAATTAAGAAGCAGAACTGAAACAGTTGCAGGCTGATTGACCATATAAGTGACAAACTGGCACTTTTCAAGAGTAAGTTATGGGAATTTTTTTCATGCACCTACTGAAAAGCAATAAGAAAGTGGTGCTTTCATCTTTATTCTCTATAACAGAAGCCTGATGTAATTATACCCACTAATGCTGAAAAGAAAAGGTTAGATGAGCTAGACCGATAGGAAACAAAGAAGAAAAATTGAGATATTCACTGCAGCTCCTGCAAATGGGGCATTTCCTTTCAGCTTAGCACTAACCTTTATGGAAGAGCTCTGTGAAATTTAATAGCTTTAGCTGTATACAGTAAATTCAGATACAGAAATACCAGTCTGAAACCTCTGTTTCTTACATGGTTTATATGTTGGCAAAGTCCACCAGTGTCAGGGAAGTTTCCCAAAATTCACAGCTCAGAATGAATCCTTCTTTGTAGAAGGGTGGCATCATTAAGCGAAAGAAATCATTCTCCACCATAGTGGCTGTGCTGAAGCAGTTGGCTTTTTTATACTAGATTTCTACCGTGGCCTTCAAGAATTTTACTGCCTCAGACGTAAACAGATTTTTTTGCACCGTGACTCCTGCCAGGTTCCATCTGGGCTCCTGCTCCCTGAACTGTGGCACGTAAGATGCTTCTGAGCTCGCTTCTTTACATGCAGTCTGCACCACCACCAGTCAAAAAACTATTGAGCAAATGCAGTTTGAACTAACGCTGTAAAAACACGGGAGATCAGACCTGGGATTGCTGACACCATTGTATCTCTGTGGAGGATTTTACACCTCTGCAAGCAGAGGGAAGGACATGATGCTTTTGGGTACAGAATAAGCCGTTAATCAGGCAGCAAATGTAGCTCTGGTCTTCCTTATTCTTGTTAGTGTTAAGTCAAGTGGCTGGTGAGACTCTCCTGAATAACATTGGGGTAATTGATGGAAACAAGCTATTTTGCCTTCCTGCAGAATGTGGCCTAGACTAAGGAGGACCAAAGCCTTTGGGCTTTTTATGGCCCTGCCATAGGCTGGACTTGGAGCAAGTCATATGGCTTCTCGTCTTCTGCATGAGAGGGCTTCTTTCCAACTTCCCAGGGACGTTATGGGAATCGAACTAATCACAGATTGGCCCAAACTACTGATTTTTGGAGTTCTGTCTTCTCTTTCCAGAAAAGTTTGCTGGTATGTAGGTTTGGGATTCCAGCCTATTTCAAAGCTAAGGGCCAGCCAGATGTAGATCTGAATCCTCTGTGTTATTAGGGTGCTGTGGTGAGTTGGGCTGGCATGCAGGGAGGTGAGAGCCAAACTTTTCAAGCATTAAATATTCCATGGATGGAAGATGTTTGACAAAGATTCAGCAGTGTTGATATTTGAGGTACTGTGGCTAATTTCTAGACCTGACACATCTGGGCAAAAGTACTACCATGCTTTTGTTTTCACCCCTGAAACACCAAAGCCATCTGCCTGTTGGAAGGAGTGAGTGTCCAAAACACTCTTTATTTTCTGTAATGCGTGTGGTTTTGGCTTCTAAAATTGGTATAAATATATTCAGAAGATACTGCATAAATGCATATACATCACAGAGGCTCTCATCACTTGCGTGTGTATGGAAATCTCCCCTCTGATGCTTCAGGATTTAATTAGGAAATGCTGGTGGACTTATCTCAATTGCACTGCAATTAAGAACCACTGGGATATTGCTTCATCACGATATTTATCACATATTTATAATATATCCTGTTTCATCTGTTCCAAAGAAAGGAGTCTTTTTGCCAAAGAGACCTTGCTTTTCTTAAGGTGCACTTCTTAGCCATGATAAAAATTCACATCATCTGTGGCTGTGGTAATGTCCAAACTGTTTCTTTCAGAAAGAATTGGAAGATCACACAGAGGTTTCGGTTCAAGTCTGCAGAGTTTTTGCTTATGCTGCTTTGGCTTTGTCTAGCATTTGTTGGCAAGTAGGGCCTGATCCCATGATTTGTGCAGCCAGACGGGGCCCAGGTGGGTCCAGGATCAGGTTCTAATTCAGCAAAATATTTAAGCCCGTGGAGTTTGTTTAAGCACAGGCTTAAAGCCATTGCGTGGTGTGATGTAACCCATGGGTCTACAGTCATTAATATCAGACTGATTCTGTATCACCCAGTCATACAGATTTGATCTGGGTAGGATGTGGGCACAGTCAAATTTCTGTCAAATTACCCAGAACACGTGGAATGGCTCCTGTGTTGCCCTTATGCCAACTGCAGGACGGCACCTGGTGGATGATCCAATGCAGCATTTGGAAGACCGGAGGATGAGTTATTACAAGATCAGTGCTTTGCGTCTGGTGGCTGTGGCACTTTCCATATGTCACAAGTAGCCCTACAGCCAGATTTACTGTATCTTTGAACCATGGCTTTAAAACTGTCTACTTAAACTTTCTCCAGAAGATTGGGTTGCCTTGGTTACAGCCCGATCCTTAAGCATATCCCCAAGGCTAACACTAGTATTTTGTGAATGTGATGCTTTTATTGTCACTTATTTTAATCATTGCCTGAACGTTGCTTTTAAAAAGACAACACCATTGCCTTAGCCTATCAGATAATGCACCTTTAATTTTGTTTTTTTAATATTTTAATTTTTAGATTTTTATCACAGCTGCGAAACACTTGGGTAATGACTTAATCATAGAGGCGTGGGAGTACCAAAGTGTTTATCAGAGTGAACTCTACATAATAGCGTTCATCCTGACGGCAGGAGCGAGACTTTTCA